GGCGACGTCATCCGGAAGGTGGCCCAGGTGTGCAGAGCTGCCCGGGAATCTCGGGCGCCCCTCGGGCCCACCCACTGTCCAGTCTCATCCTTGGCCAGGCTGGGTCCGGGCGGGAAGGGAAGAGAGAAGGGCCCAGGGCCGGACACTGAGCCCGCTGCCAGGTCAGGGGCCCAGAGCAGGAGCCACGTGTGCTAGAGGCGGGATGGGGTCCAAGGGTGCCTCGCACCACTGGGCAGCCCATGGCACACCCACCGGCCCCAGGCCCGCACAGCCCTGGGTATGAGCCGCCTCCCCCTCCAGCCGGAGTGATCAGCAAGTCCCCCCCCAACCCCGAGCCTCTGTCCTCTTGTCTGCATGGTGGGGGTGCTATGGGATGGCTCTCCTGGGAGGGTCAGTGACAGCAGTGGACAGGGGGTCACGGCACTGTGACTGCAGCAACTATCAGGGTGAGCTCCCCCAGGACCGGCCCACGGGCTACCTGGGAAGAGACAGGGCCCCCAAGAAGAGCCAGGCCAGGTCTCACTGCGGTCAGGGCGGAGCCAGGGCACCCTGACTTCCGTCCAGAGCCCCCGCCCTGGGGCTTCTGCGGGACTGGGCCCCGCCCATGAGGTGCTCAGGCTGCCTTGGCCCCCAGGTGCCACTGGGCCCCGAGTGCTCGCGGGCCATCATGAAGCTGATGTACTGCGCACACTGCCTGGGGGTGCCCAGCGTCCGGCCGTGCCCCGACTACTGCCTCAACGTGCTCAAGGGCTGCCTGGCCAACCAGGCCGACCTGGACGCCGAGTGGAGGAACCTGCTGGGTGAGCCGTCCCTGCCACCTCCCTGAGAGTGGCCGGGGCCTCGGGAGGCAGGTGGTCCCTGGGGTCAGGGGGCAAGGGTCCCTTCTGAACGTCCCGGGCGCAGTGTGATGTGCGCAGCTGCCTGGGAGAGAGCCCTGTGGGGTCACAGTTCCTGTCCTTCCTCACCGAGCGTCACAGCGTGCATACGTGCCAACACGTGTGCGACACGGCGGGCCAACATGGACATGTGCTGACGCAGCCTAGCACGCAAACACGCCAACACGTGTGTGACACATGATGGACCAACGTGCACATGTGCCAACGTGTCTGTGACAGGGCGGGTCAACACACGCATGAGCTAACACATACTCTGCTGATGTATGGCGGGTCGGCTAACATGTACGTGTGCTGCCACATAGTGGGCGAATCTATGTGCGTACCAACACGTGCATGCTAGCGTGCACATGTGCTGCCGCAAGGGGGCCACCAGCATGTGCACTAACACGTGTGCACTAGCGCGTGCATGTTTGCTGGCAGGAGGGGAGCCAGCATGCACCCCATTAACACGCAGACAGACACGTACACGTGCTGACATGAGATGGCTCGGCATGCCCACATGCAGCACACATAAGTACTAACGCGCTGACCCTGTGGACCAGCACATGCCACCACACGTGTGTTCGTGTATACGTGTGACAATACGGTGCGCCCTCGTGAAAACGTGCCGACATGCGTGAGCGGGGCAGTGTGCGTGTGGTGGGCTGGTCGTGTGTGCCAGTGCGCCTGCGAACTCATGTACCTGTGCTCGACGTACACGCTAACACACGAGCGCTAACGTGTCCATGAGCTGACGTGGGGTGGGCCAGCATGGGCATGCGTTTCGACACGTGTGCACCGGCATGTCGGCGTGGGTGCGCAGACGTACCAAGTGCTCCCTGTGCAAACTCATGTACCCGTGCTCGACGTACACGCTAACACACGAGTGCTAACATGTCTGTGAGCTGGCTCAAAACAAGCCAGCGCGCATACACGTCAGCTCCTGGGCGCTAACGTGTCTGTGAGCTGAAGTGGGATGGGCCAGCATGGGCATGCGTGTCGACACGTGTGCACCGGCATGTCAGCGTGGGTGCGCAGACGTACCAAGTGCTCCCTGTGCTCACGCCTGTGCCAGACTCCACGGTGCTCATCACTGACAAGTTCCGGGGCCCCTCCGGCGCCGAGCGCGTCCTGGGCAGTGTGCACGTGTGGCTGGCGGAGGCCATCAACACCCTCCGGGACAACAGGGACACGCTCACGGCCAAGGTTCGAGCAGGAGGGTGCGGTGGGTGTGGGGGGGTGCCCCAGATGTGGCCTCATGCCCCTCCAGGACCCTGTGGTCTCCCCCAGGTCATTCAGGGCTGCGGGAACCCCAAGGTGAACCCCCAGGGCCCTGGGCCCGAGGAGAAGCAGCGCTGGCAGAAGCTGGAGCTGCCGGAGAAGCCGCCCACGGGCGCCCTGGAGAAGCTGGTGAGGGACCCTCGGCCAGCCAGGCCCTGCGGGGCGGGGGGCGAGGGGCGAGGGCAGCCTGGGCCAGGGCGCCCAGTGGCCTGACTGCTGCCCCACAGGTCTCTGAGGCCAGGGCCCAGCTCCGTGATGCCCAGGACTTCTGGGTCAGCCTTCCAGGGACACTGTGCAGCGAGAAGATGTCCATGAGCATCGCCAGCGATGACCGCTGCTGGAACGGGGTGGCCAAGGGCCGGTAGGTGCCACGCGGCCGGCCACAGGCCACCCTTTGCGGCCTCAGCCGGACCCCGTTCGGCGCGTAGTACCGGCTCTGTGCACACGGGGGCACACAGAGCTGGGACGAGGACCAGACCCTTGCCTCACGCCAGCTCGCTGCGGCACACGCCGTGCCCAGCCATCCACACCTGCACTGTGGGGTCTGCGTGGGCTCGTGTCGGCCCCTGACAGCCACCGGGGGTCTCTGGGGATCTCAGGCTTGCCACCTCCCGGGCAGAAAAGCGCATAGGAGGGCAGGCTAGGGTGGTGCCTCTTCGCAGAGACCGGGCAGTCACCTAGGGCCTGCCCTCCGGCCCCCAGGTATCTCCCTGAGGTGATGGGTGACGGCCTGGCCAACCAGATCAACAACCCCGAGGTGGAGGTGGACATCACCAAGCCCGACATGACCATCCGCCAGCAGATCATGCAGCTGAAGGTCATGACCAACCGGCTGCGCAGCGCCTACCACGGCGAGGACGCAGACTTCCAGGACACCAGTGAGGCCGGGCGCCAAGGGTCGCGCAGGCGTGCGGAGGCCCCGGTCCCCACAGTGGCTCTGAGGGCGCTGCTGCCGCCCAGCACCCCGCCCTCCACGTGTCCGTCCCCGAGCACGGATGAGACCTGGCCAGGCTGTCCATCCAGCCTTGGCAATGGCGGGGAGTCACCCGTGGTCGGGGGAGTTGGCGTCACCCGGCATGGGAGACCACACACGGGGACGCTGCACTTGGGGTCTGCAGGGCGGGGTGGCCTGAACCTCCTCTCGTCCCCAGGTGACGAGGGCAGCGGCTCAGGCAGTGGTGACAGCTGCCCCGATGATGTCTGCAGCAGGGCTGTCGACAGGAAGAGCTCCAGCTCGCGGACGACTCTGACCCATGCCCTCCCCGGCCTGTCGGAGCGGGAGGGCCAGGACACCTCGGCTGCCGGCTGTCCCCAGCCCCGCACGGCCCTCCTGCTTCTCCTCCTCGTCCTGGTCCTCTCAGTGGCCGGGCCCCAGTGGCGGTAACTGCCCCCGGCCCCAGGGACCGAGGCCAAGGACTGACTTTGCCAAAACATGAGACAGACAATATTTAATTCCCTTGGGTGGAGGCCCTGGGGCAGGACAGGGAGGGACAGCGAGAGACCGCTGCTCTGTGAGTGCGCTGGGGGCGGGCCGAGTGGCACTGGACCCCAGGCCTGGCCTTGCCGGTCACCCTGGCTCTTAACTTTGTATGAGGCCCTCAGGTCAGCTAGAAGCAATGTCCCCCAAAGCCATGTGCATTTCAGGGATGCTGGGGATGCTGGTGGCCGCCCGCCTGCCCGTGCTCCCCACGCCCAGCCCCCCACACTCTCACAGAAGCAGTGAGGCCTGGGAGGAGGCGCCGGAACAGCATCCCGCTGGAGAGTGGGCAGGCCTGTGCCTTCCTCTCCCGCTGGGGGCCAGGGGCCCCCGCCCTGCCGCACCCCGAGAATCCCTGAGGGCATCGGGGTCTCCGCCCATCCGAGATCTCACGGGGCCTCTGAGATTATGCATGAGCCCTTCCTGTGCAGCCAGGGCCCCCACCCGTCATGCTGTGGGCCCTGGAGCCCCGTGTCGGTGTGAGCGCCTGTCTGGCGAGGTGGCCCTCCCAGGCCTCGTCTTTGCCACGGGCGAGCGACAGGTGGCCCTGGGTGTGTGGCGAGCTGCAGCCTGCCCAGCCCTGCACCCTGGGCTCCGCGATCGGTCATCTGCAGGGTGGGGTCCTGCTCCTGGCCATCCCAGGAGAGCAGGCCCGGGCCTCTGCAGAGGGGACCCAGGCGTCCCCACACACACGGGGCCAGGTCCGTGGCCTGCACAAGGACTTCCAGCTGTAGGGAGGAGCAGCCTGGCCATTCTCCTGCCTCCTGTCCCCACCCAGACCGAGAGTCAGGTCCCAGCTCAGGGTGACACAGGCCAGGGCTAGAAGTGGCCTGTGGCTGTCGCCTGGCCACGTGGATGCTGGGTGAAACTTCAGCTCAGGGCCAGCAAGTCCCGGCACTGCAGGCCAGAGGGACGCCTGGTCCCCTCCTTGGCCCCGCTGGCTGCAGGGAGCCGGGGCCTGTGACAGTTAAGGGCTTTTCCAGGTATGCAGACGTTCACACGTGCTTCCCATCCTCGCTCGCCGAGAGCTGCTTTCTCAGCTCCTCCCAGATAGCTTTAGAGGGACCTGGGCCAGGTCCGCAGCCCGGGATCCAGGCTCACCCCTGCTCACGCAGGCGCTGGGGAGGGGCTCAGGCAAGGGGCAGGCGGCCCTCGGGGCCCCGGGCCTGCTGAGCCCAGCCTCGCCAGTGCGGCCGAGCAGGCCATGTAGTGCTGCGTTGCTTTTCCTCAAGGGGTCAGGGAGGCCTCTGGCCGCTGGTCAGAGCCCCTGGCATGGTCCTCGGGTGTGTGGGGTCCAAGGTTCCCAGCCTCTGCCCCACCAGGCAGCCCAGTCCACAGGCACACCCACCCCATAATAACCCTGCTAGCGTCGGGTGGGGGCTGGGCCCGGGCCTCCTCCCCTGTGAGCAAGGGCCAGCTGGACTCTCAGGGACTCTGGGGCGGTGGCCGCCCATGCGCCAGGACAGCTGTACGGCTCAGGGATGGCCCGGAGGAGGCCCATGCTCGGCCCCGCTCTGCGCGCATCGCTGGACGGGCGGCCCTGCCACGGTCACCAGCTAGGGAGTGACCAGGCCTGCTGCGTCCTGCCGCACAGTGTCAGCGGGCGACGTGTGTTCTGTGAGTCCGCGAATAAATAAACGGCTGGAGACCTCGTGTGTCGAGTGTGTGCTGTGGCCCCTTCCTGCACAGCCCGGCAGGGGGCCGTGCCTGAGGGCTGTGCGCAGCAGGTGTGGCTCAGGGCCTGTGGGAGGTGCCAGGGGCTCCGTCCAGGGGTGTGGCGCCAGGCTGCAAGTGCAGGGTCTGCACGTCCACGTCCCTCCCCAGGCCCATGGGGCGCCCCGGAGAAGGAAACGCCGGGGTTTCTGCACACCCCTGCCCTGTTGGACACACATGCCGGGAAGGTCCACTCCCCACATGGCCTCGGAGATGCCCAGGAGGCCGGGGCATAGGCACCAGCGCTGTCCCCGGGGGCCCGGTCTGCCCTGGAGCCCCACCCGCCATGCCTGGCACCCCTCAGCAGAGCGGGACCCCCGCCCCAGCCGCCCACCTCCCCAAGCAAAGACTGCCGCGTGACCCTGAGGCCCAGGCTCCGGCCCCTGCTCACTCCTCCCCCAGGAGCCACTGCGCACAGGGCCCAGCTCCTGGGCCAGAGGCTGGCAGCCCATGTGGACACGGCCGCCAAAGGTCACTTTATTTGGGCATCACACCCCCGCCAGCATCCGGGCACACGTTCAGCAAAGCATCTTGCCTTTTGGGGCCTGGAGTGCTGGGGACCCGGCAGCAGGTTGTGAGGGGCAGAGCCCCCCAGAAGGCAGACGGGGTGCCCTATGGGGGAGAGCTCACTTGTGGGGGGGCGCCCCCAAAGCGCTGCAGATCCCGATGGGGCGTGAGCGGCAGGACCTCCCAGAGGCTGCAAATCAGGAGCTGAAGCACCATGCTGGCATCCGGTGGCCATGCAGTAACCGTGTCCCCTCCCTGGGCGGTGGGCAGCCTCGGAGCTGGCTCAGCCGCGGGACACTCACGCCCGGTCATGGCTGGAGGAGATGCCTCTGGGCACCTGGCACTTGTCCGCATGCCTCGGGGGCTGCTAGGCGGTACCCTGGGACAGACGCACACGCACTTCCCTGTCCGAGAGGAGCCACAGTGAGCAGCATCTGGCACAGGACGGCCCACGGCCCACCTTGGAGGACTGGCCCTGCCCACCCAGCCCAGCCCAGCGTCCAGGAAAATGGGCTGCCTGAGTCCATCTGGGCACATGCTGGAATCTTCAGGGTCAGGAGCAGGTGGGCGGCTGCCAGGGTGGGGACGAGAGATGGTGTGAATGGCGCCCGGCCTTAGCTACCCCCACGGAAAACAAAACAACAAAAAACAAGCTTTGGATGGAAGGACCGCACCGTGGACGCGACGCTTCGGCGTGGGGGAGGCAGCGGCCCACGTGCGCCCCGGGGCTGGAGCCGCTGCCCCGGACACAGCACCACGGCCACCAAGGACAACACGGTGGCCCCGGCGCCTCGGCCACGGCGACATGCTGGCCATGGAATGCGAGACGCTGCCGCCGTGGACAGAGAAGGCCACGCGGCAGAAACGCGGGCAGAGGTCACGCGCGCACGGGGCGGGCGGACAGCCGCGTGAAGCGTGCTCGACTTCACAGGTCCAGGAAGCTCCCAGGGGGCCGTGCGGGGACGTGCACACGAGGGGCAGGCCCACGCGCGGCCAGGGTGCCGGTCAGCCGCACAGCCTCGGCTCCTTAAAACGCAGCCTCAGACCAGCACTGCGCAGGCGCGTCCGCCGGGGGTGGGAGCTCAGCGGCCCGTTATCACTTTGTTGACTCTTGAAATTCCCGCTGTTGAGCTGATTTCGTCAGCCCAGCAGCCTGTGCGGTGGGGACGTCTCCACACGCGAGGACGCAAACCACGGCAGAGCTAAGCCGCCTGTGCAGGGCGTCCCCAGGCTCTGGGGGTGGAAGGACGCAGGGCAGGTGCTGGCTCCCCGGGCTCGGGGGGCGGACAGGGCTGGGCTCCCATCTGTGGCCAGGAAGAGGCCCATGGGTCCTGGCCCTACACGCTTCCTGGGACCCGAGGGGCCATTGTTACCACTGGTCACAGAGCACAGAGCACAGAGCGCTGGCTTCTGGGAGCACCCCAGATGCCTACAAATTCCAGGCCCTTTGTCTCATCACCAACATCCCAGCCCCACACAGACACCCTCTCCCTGGCCAGGGCCCCGCCCCCGCTGTGCCCTCAGGCTCCCGATGCCCCTGACCCTCGCTTCCCCAGCCTCCCTTCCCGGCCTCCCCTCCCGAGGCTCCCCGACCTTGACTGGCCCCCATCAGGTGCGGGGCCCAGGGAGGGGCCACCTCCAGATGGGCCCCTCCGCCTCCAGGACTGGGCACCCCCTCTCAGCGTTCTTACTGCCCAGCCCCCCCATCCTTGCCCCTCACTCCACCCCCTGGACCTCGTCCCCTCAGCACACGTCCACCTCAGCCACTGCTGGCCCACTATCCTGCCCACTGGTCCTCTGCCTTCCAGCTCTCAGCCACCCCCTCGTCCCTTGTCCCCAGTGCCTCCCCAGCAGGACCCCTGAGTCCCGGCATCCATGCTGCTCTGAAGTCACCCGTTTGTCACCCTGCAACACCCTGAACCCCTGGCACCCTGCACCCCTGCCACCCTGCCCT